TTTATATTTACCTTGAACTGGAGGGTCCAGGTTTTTTAGCTCCTAGCTCCTCACAGGTTCCCTCATAAATGTTGTTGATCACAGTGTTTCCCAGCTCACACATCAGCTAAAGGAGGAGAGCGGGAGAACAGAATAGAGCASAGCAGGCTGTATTTAAAAATACATCGTTAAAAATGAAGCAGCAGCGTAGCAATGTACTGAAAGAATTAATAATGTAGCTCCACTGGGAGGCAAAACAAAAAGCAGGATGAGCTGTAGGCTCACCTTGAGTAACTCCGGCTCCCACGAGTCTAACGTCAGCGAACGCACTTTAGAGAAATGGACGCCTAAACTCCTGAAAATAAAACACAAAGAACAAAAAAAATAAAAAAAAAATAAGTGAAAAATGTGGTAACTCACCAGATTTTTAACGTTTTTCCCTCCTACTTTTGATAAAAATTGCTTTCAATTCCAAGAGTCCCTGAATATTTTTTAAAACTTGGCTGAACTGTCTCTTATTTAAACACCTATGAAGCTAAATTTAATATCCTGTACAACAAAATGTGCTTTAAAGGATCTTTCATGTAGTGTAGAAGGGATAATAGCAGTGCCAGCAAGAGAAACATTTACTGATGAGTTGAACTAAAACTATAGAAACTATAAATAATTTTAATCCAGATAGTTCCATGAGTGGGTTTTAAAACAAAAGCAGGAAGATGAGTGGAAGGAGAAATTTCTTTTAACCGATTTTGTTCTTACAAACCCATAAAAGACAAATGGTTTTGTTCAGATAATCTAGAAAATTTTCATCCCGGATGCTTTATGGTGGTTTATTTCCTGGAACAAACCACAACAGACAAAAAACTAGAAAAACTACCTCAGCTAAACTGTGTTGCATCAATAATAATAATAATAATAATAATAATAATAATAATAATAATAATAAACTTTATTTATACAGTGGATCCAGATACCTGTGGATCCCGGAGCACTCGATGCAGAGCAGCACTCCCAGGTTGATGGAGGCCCAGCAGGGGGCCGTCTGGCCGCAGTCGCTGCACAGCTCGTTGCCCGGCAGGCTCTGGACCCGCTGGAGGAGACTCTCCCCCCCTCCCCGAAACACCCTTTCAGCCCTCTCCCCCCTCTCCCGGGGCTCGCTGGCAGAGTCAATGCTGCTTGTGGAGGGCGAAGCGGTCCGGTCCAAACGCTGTGGGACAAAGTTACTCAGTTAAACCTGCATCCCCCAAAATATTTTCAAAATAAAAGCATCTTCTTCTGCATCTGATTACACACACCGTACCTCAACGTAATAGTTGTCGCCGATGTCTTTGTAGGCGGAAGCGATGCTTGCCTGGACCGCCTGGATCCAAGCCTGCCGCAGCTTCTCAGACTCGGCCTGCAGCATGCAGCTCCTGCAGGAACAGCACGTCGTATCCGTCTGTTTGTTTTAATCATCTTTACTCTAAATAACACGGCACAGATAAGTACGAGATTCTGACGGTAACAAGCAAAAGTACCAGTTTCATTAAGTTTTAACAAACATTTGAATATTTCCTCAATGAAATACCTTTAAAAAATTGAAACCTTACTGATCGACACCAGACATCAAACAATAATGACCAAGATATTCTCCTTTCCACCTCTGTTACTGAACTGAATCTGAGCTCCACAAACACTAGTTGACTTTATATTCAAGTTTTAATTATTTAAAAAGCACCCTTTATACTAAAAACAGCTAAGGTTCTGTACAAAATTATACTCAGTAAACCCCCAACATAAAAACACACAATACCTTTCCCTTCCCAAACATGAA